CCATTCTTTGGATGATTCACCCCAAATCTACCAACTATTCTACGATTGTTTCCATGTGCCCCAATTGTTTACGTTTGATCCTTCTGGGCAAATTGGACTCTCACTCTCTCTCTCTCTCTCGAAATATACATATATCATCTGTGTATGTATATTATGTACATATGTATAGGAGACTTGAAGAATGATGATAATCATTCTTATAATAATGATACTAATCTAATATATACTGATATATACTAATTCTCATGTGCAATTCACGCAAACCTGAAGTATTTGCCATGCTTTGGATGATTTCTTGCCCACCAAAGACCCTGGGCCAGGGCGACCGGTGGGCTAGTCACTTTGCTCTACCTTACCTACCCTCTGGTACTTTTAACAGTTTGCGATTGAAACTGGCCCGTTTATACAGGGTGGGGGCCCAAAGATAGATAAGTTGAGATATAAGTGGCATAACTATGGTTTATAGTAGATATAACATGATATAACTATAGGTAATGGGGTTTATAAACCAACTTATAACTAGGGGGACACCATCTTGTAGTTGATTTACCTATTAAAGCTGGTGATTTCTTCCATAGCAAACTGTTAGTTCACCAGAAGGTAGATCATAATATTCTATGTCCATTCTGCCAGGTTCCCAACATATGTCTTCTATGTCAATATATTGGAGGTGGTGCCTCTTTTTTTGGCTAAGTTCTTTTTATAAGCAGGTTGACTAGAGTTTATGGTAGATATATCAGATCTATCTATAGTTAGACTGCGTTTATAAACCAGCAAACATAGCTTGGCTGCATGTATATATCCCACTACCCATTCTATATGTATAATCACCACTATTTATTATCTTTGAGACATATACAGATACAATCATATATATATATATACATAATTATATATATCTGGTTGGTGGTTTCAACCCCTCTGAAAAATATGAAAGTCAGTTGGGAACATTATTCCCAATATATGGCAAAATGATCCAACTGTTCCAAACCACCAATCAGTTAAGTATATAAATCATATTTTCCATATATTTCCATATATTTTCCATATTTTCCATGTGTTCCATATATTTTCCATATATTTTCGGCCATCAAAATCCATGGATTTCTGCCAATTTCACCTGCGGAGGTGAAGCCGGCGCAACTTTCACCTGCGGGGAAAACTGGACGTTTAAGGGGCGCTTTATGTATATATATGTAAATATGTATGCACAAATCTATCTATCTATCTATCTATCTATATATATGTATGTATATATATATATAAATGCATAGAAATCTTCTATATCTATGCGTGTATATATAAAATGTCCATAGAATGTAGAAATAATGTATAGACAAGTTCACTAGCAATTTTGATAGATCAGATCTATGTTTATATGTGTCCATATATAAATCCCTAGACATTTTGATAGATCTATGATGATCTATGTGTGTATTCGTATAAATTCAAATATTGATATGTTATATGGAACATAACTGTGAGGGCAGTTTACCACCGAACAAAAGAAGGGGGTGGGGTGGAACCAGCAAAGTTGAATTGAAGCTTCAAGCTGGCTGATGGATTCGGACAAACCTTTTAACTTGTTTGATGTTTTGCTTGGACACCCTTGCGGCACTTTGATGAGGATGCAACAGATGAAAATTGTATAGAGGCGACACCACAATCAAAAACGGGTTGTACCTGAGATGGAAACCCAACATGTCAATTTCTGATGGGGAAATATGGGAAAATTACTAAACCGTTTCGGCTTTGATCTCTGCGAATGAATGGGCGATGAATCTGTGGGTAACCCTGTGTTCCTTCCATTAGCATCACCTCTTTTTGGAGGAGAACCCTGATTTAACCGCCAAAAAGGATCAAAAAGGATGATAACCCCACGAAGTTTAAACACAACGTTCTATTCAACAGCGGAACCCAAATTGATGTTGCCACCTATTTAATCGCCAAAGAACCATCTGAAACACTGATATGTTGAGCTGTTTTCTCGCCATGGTGGGGTTTTACCCATGGTTTTACCCATGGTACAGAAAAACACAACTTGAAAACCAAACACAACTTGGTATGTGCCAGGGTCAAAACATGGTGACGGCGCCTGTAAGAGGCCGTGTTTTTATGCTCATTGCATTTGCACCGATGAAATCAATTGCTTCAAAAACCCAAGGTTTTTGCACATTCTGATTGAAGTCCATCATGAATCTAGAGAATAAAACACTGTAAGGCTGACCGAGGACATGCGTTTTTGGAACCCCTCGCAGCATTTTCATCACTTTTTTAACTCTTTGCCGGCGCGCCTGAAGTTTCAAGTGCTTTTTTTTCGGCACTCTTCTGCCAAAGGTATTTGCGTAATGCATGATGAACATACTTACCTGAGAAACCTGTAATGAAACCATGTTCAAGTGACACATATGTGTGGAATTAAGCATTAGATGCATGTAGAAAACTACACCTTGGGTAAATATCTTTAAATCAAAGAAAGAACTTGCTAACACACCCCCAACAGCCCCCAGCGACCGCAACGTAGCATGACAAGAGTGCGCAAGTGCAAAAGAAGAGCTTGTGAACGTAGCATCACGTAGTTGTATACCTTGAAGGGACCGTGCAGTAGCGTAGCATCACGTAGTTGTATAACTTGAAGAGAACGTGCAGTAGCGTAGCATCACGTAGTTGTATACCTTGAAGAGAACGTGCAGTAGCGTAGCATCACGTAGTTGTATACCTTGAAGAGAACGTGCAGTAGCGTAGCATCACGTAGTTGTGTAAATTGAAGAGAACGTGCAGTAGCGTAGCATCACGTACGTGTGCAAGTCCAATGAACGTTAACATCCCCCCCACCCACCCACCCAGCCCCCCACCCCAGTCAACGTAGCATCACGTAGTTGTATACCTTGAAGAGAACGTGCAGTAGCGTAGCATCACGTAAGTGTGCAAGTCCCATGAACGTTAACATCCCCCACCCCACCCCCCACCCCCCAACGAACCGTAAAAGACGAGACAGGAAAAATGACGTACGCGCACGGCCTCTTAGAGGCGCCGTCACCCAAAACATGCCAGCCTTGGGAATCCTCAACTTGACCACTCTGATTCCGCTATGACCAACTCCCAAATCCAAGGGATTCTCATCATTTTCTCCAAAAAAACATGGCTATAATTGGGGAAAAACCCTATAAAACACCAAAATTTGGGCAGATCCAGTATATCCAATCTATCAAAATCATATCCCGACTATTCAATGGCCTATGAAATGGACAGAATTTTTGAATCTCATCCTCCAGATTCATTCCCGCAATGGCTTCTTGACATTCGCCAATATGCACATATATACAATATTGGATAGTAGAACGCAATATCATAGTCAATCAACCACCATTAAACCATAATTCAGAAATTCATCAATAACACAACCATTTTGATGGTCAAAACTCCATAAAAGTCCATAAAAGATAGACCACTAAAATCCTAAACTAGTAAAGGCATGTCAAGGCTTACTTTTCCATCTTTTTTGGGGGTTACAAAAACGATGATGTGACTACAGGCCCTTCCTTTTTGCACCTTGGCTTTGCGCTTCTTCTCTTTTGCCTTCACCTACACGAAACGGTTCACGGGGGGAAGGGATATATAGTCTGACCATCGAACCCCTATAATCCCTCTGTGTAACCCCTCTATGACAACTAACAACTGCCAAAGCCCAGGGGAAAAAAAAAGCACACCAGATTTTCTCCAAAGGTAACCTGCCGGCGTTCGGCGATGCCTGTCATTAATCAAATTCAAACATCTCGATGCACTTGTTGCTGCTCCCACCCTGTTATGCGCGACAGGGTGATGAACAACATTTTTTGAAGTATCTTATAGCCTCTTGTGATGCAAGCTAGCATGATTTTCTCCCATTTTTGTCTTGCCCGTTCTTGCCTATCAAAACACTTTTGAACGGGGATATCCTATGTTTACACATAGCATACACCTAAAGGGATGTGACAAACAATCTGCTGTGTCCACCAGAATCTCTTCGTGCTTCCTGAAGGCACAACGCGCACAGGGTGAGCACTTAGCTGACCAAGCACATCCTGTATGTACACGCACTGAGCTGCCACATCCACTTCGCATCAGTGTTTACTGGATTCCACTAGGTGCTACGCCAAATAGGTGAACTAGGATTTACCATTTGGTTATGACTAACAGTTTGCCATGGAAAATCACCATGCTATTAATAGGTAAACCCAGGTAAACCATCTATTTCTATGGGCCATCTATACCATGGCTATGTTAAATAACCAGAGGGTACTGGAGATAGCAAGCCCCAGTCATAGCTGCAGTCCAGAGTTGGACACGTGGAGAATACGGGGAACAGATCATCGAACTACCAACCCATCCTGGAAAAACACACTGAAATCGGCATCTTTTTTGGGGTGCGTAGTATAGTATACGATTGTTGTAAACCAATTCATATAACTGGAACGCCACCTTGCAGCTTCAGTTCAACTACCACAATGTCTCAGATCTCTGGCTAAATTACAATGATTCACTAGCTTGAAGGGTTTTTTTTTTGGGGAGGTTCCCAGTAAACGTGGTAAACCAAGCATCATTTATGCTGTTGTCATTCACGCAGATAAGAACCAAGAGGCCCCTTGGAGTCCTTAGAGCAAAATTGCAACTTCAAAAACATCCGCTAAATTTGCGAAGGCACATCTACTCTGATGGCAATTCGTCCCTTTTTCTTGGTGAATAACATCTGGTTGGCTGGTGGGCTGATAGCCCATGGTCAACATGGTCTAACGGGATTGCGGCTAATGTAATCCAAAAAGGCTTGTACAAAAACAGCAATAGGGCAATGGGGAACTAGTTATCAGGTAAATGCTGACAAATTATTGAATCTCTGTTCACTAACATTTATCTTAACATATCTGAACTAGTGACAGCTTATGCTCTCCCCATACCCAAACGTGGCTCCACTGTGGTTTTCCTGTGCCCTGATACGAAAGACATGCAACGAGCTCGGCGCGCTATAACACGCAGGGGCGAGACATCAAATCGCTGATGGTTACCTGGGAGTGGAAAAGGGTCAAAGTTCCAACCACCTCCAAAGTTGAATGTTCAACCATCCAACATGCCCTACATGGGGGTGCAGTTGAGTTTAGAAATGGGTATATGTATTCATAGTTCTAAACCAGGACCTGCAGATTCCAAGTAGTCTTCCAGTTACCGATAGGTTTTTCACCAAACGTGATTTTGAGGTTGGTGGTCTGTCTCAAGGGTAATTGGAAACTTAGGGATGACTTGCCAGTATCATTATTCAAGCCCAGTGTGTAGCCAAATGCAGCCACTATATCTGTGTATATATAGAATCTACTTACAGTATATCATCTTATATCTACTTCTATACTCTACCGGCGAGATATTTTATGATGTTCAATTATACTATTGTTGAATATGTTGGAGATGTTGGATGCTTTGCTCACCTTAGGCAGCCTTAGACTGGAAGTGGGATCACCATTTGAGCCATTGGATTCAGTACTTCCCACGGAGCTTTTCAAAGGGGCACTCCATTTCAATCGCTCAAGCCGCTAGCCCCATCTCAAAGTGTGCACTTCGTGGATGGTAAAATGAGATAAATTGTAATCAGAATTAAACATTATTTATGAATACATTTATAAAATTTTAGATCAGATATAATCTTTATTCATAGTAATCCTTCCCTTGTTCTCATGAACAGATTGTTGTCCTCAAGGGTCATTGCAGTGGTGCTACTCTTACGACGATGCCATCCCTGAGCTATCCTGACCATTGGATGAGTGACTCATTGGGCACCACAAATTGGATGAAAAACACCACGGGCCAAAAAGGGGTTTTAAATGATGGTTTTTAATGTTCACCCCAAATTACTGTAGCATCTAAATCTGTACTTCCCTACTCACTTCAAGTATTCTTGGATTTGCTTCTGTGATGGCCATTTCAACACTAGAAACATCTTCCCAGTAGATCTGTTTCTGATTTACCAACGGGAATATGTAAAACATGATCGACTCAGCAATCCAGCTTTGACCACATTGAAACTAAAATGGTTGAAAGTACACACCCATTTGTTTTCGCCAAAAAAACCCTCTTCTTTTCCAGTGATCCAGTAGAGGATCTGTTCTCGACACACCCTTCCAGCATCTTCCACCCCTTGCGAAAAAGCGACGCTTCCTTGCAGAATTCCTTTGTCTGTCACGTAAACCACACCATCGCTCTCCTCAGAAGCCGGAGAACACCTTGACCCCAAGTGAAACCAGCAGCGAAAAGAGGTGCTTGAAAATTACCCATCACTGTCGAAATGAAAAGCTAGTCATAACCAGGTGATGCCCATGTATCTTTGTTGGTTCATTTATAACTTTTTTTTTTAAAATAACCCCTACTGTATCAACTATAGATATGAATAGATATGATATATCATATATCTGCCACAAATCTTAGTTAATCATAGTTAAGCATAGTAGACCTACTTATAAACCAACTATGGGGCCAACAACAAAAGGCACCACCTGCTGTGAGAAAAAAAACATCTGACCGAGTCTCTGCGACTTTCATCAAGAGATATACATCCTTCACCGTGCAATCCGGTGCTACACGTACCTGAGACTGGCAGCCACTGGCAGAGATTTTCTGGAGTGCTGCAAACTTGGAGCTACATCCCAGAAAAATAGTCATATCTAAGCCGCCATTTTTTCCTGGGGAGATTCCCTATATTGTGCTGTGGAAAACCCTATTGGGGATGGTTTTTTGGGCTTACCACATGGATTAATTCCATCATTCATTGATAACAAAATCCCAATGAATCCCAGCAGAATCCAATTTTTTATCCATCAATAATTTTACAAATCCCATTAAAGCCTATTGTTTAAATCCCACTGCAACTGTTTTACTCACTTCATAACTGGAATGCGCTCCCAAGCGCCTTGATCGACCCGATTGTTAAGGGTTTATCCTTTCGGTTAGGATTTACAAGCTACCCGTACCTATCTACCAAGCTGGACGAAACACCAAGTGGATCCAAGTGGAACGTGAGAATATATGGTACATTTTGAATATATTAGAATTGTATGCAACATGCATATCTTCAGACTGCTGGCGTCCATACGGTTCTGAACTATCCGAACTATCCCTGCAACTTTATTTCCACAAGACATTCTCAATGAAGTGATCACCATACAACGAAATCCTTTTTCATCGTCATTGTGAGAGAGGCCAACGGTGGTGCCACAGTTTGTTAGCTAAGTTGCTTTGTAAGTAGCTTGAGTGTTGGGCTTTGGTTGATAACTCAATAATAACATTCTATAATGTCAACCCTGGATTTATAAACCCCAAACGGCCATTTAATTAGGAAGGTACCATTTAAGTATCAAATCATGACTATTGGGGGAATACCCCCCTAATTTTTTAAAACCATGGTTTAGTCTCATCCGGGGTTGACATTAACTATCATTAGATGGGCTGAAACTGTTTCACCACTTGGCAGACTTAGCACCACCTCAAGGTGTTTCTTTTCATCCAAATCCCTTGGCCCATTCCAAGCCGCTGGATTTCCTTCCACCAAGGGTTCGCTCCCATCTGGTGGCACCTGGTGAAACAACTCTGTTGGGATCCTGTCATGTCCTTAAAAGAAACACATGCTTCATATTACCCTCTGGTAAACGAACATAGCTATTGAAAATGATCATTTATAGTTGATTTACCCATTAAAAATGCTGATTTTCCATAGTTATGTAAACGTTTACCAGAGGCTAATTTTCAGGGGATTGATCATCAATCACTTTGCTGTTAGGGAGCAAGTCCAATTTTTGACATCACTCATATCACTCTTTAATATCGGGGTTACCATTACCCAGGGTAACCTGTGCCCCAGGTTTTGTAGATACAAATCTGATTCTTGAATCATAATTTCAAGTGACGTCAATCGCCATCACAATCTCGAAACATTGAATTTTGACCGGATAAAAAAACACCATGAATAGCTGCTGACTGGATCATCCCCACCAGTTTCGCCACAAATCAGCCGCGGCACCCCGAGAAAACATCTGGAATTGTTCATCGAGGAAACAGTAAACAGTGCTTGGGAGGGATTCAAATAGCTAGTAGTTATTAAGTAGGTATTGTAAAAATTGAGGCAAAACGAAAGCAACCACAAAAATCAACTAGCTTTGTTTTTTCGGCTATTCCGAATGTTTCACCACATCAAATCCGGCATTGACATCCATAGGTCCAAGAATCATTTTTTTTTAAATCATAATCATCGGATCACATCCCACGAATCATCACATGGGGCCCACATTTTTTTAAACCTCTGGTAAACTCACATATAGCTATGGAAAATCACTATTTTTTATAGATAAATCATCTATAAATAGTTGGTCCGTGTTTCATCCATTTTCCATAATTAGCAAAGTGTGAGTTTCACAAAATCGTGGACATCATCCCAAAGTTTCATCTCAAAGTTTCATCCCAAGGCGAAGTGGCACCTGAAATTTGGGATCCATCAAATCGATCTCCAGGTCGGGTGTCTCGCCCTGCGGGTCCAACTGCTTCAGGAGCTTTTGAGCCTCGCAGAAGGTGAAAATTGCTAAGTGCCAGCGAAAATCAGTGGCTTTACAACATGTTAACTAATATTTATAAAGGATGTATAAGGATATATATTTATAACTAATATATAACTAATATATATATATATAACAAATGTATAACAAATCTATAACATTGTATAACTAATATATAACTAATATATAACTAACATATACTAATATATAAGGATAAGGATATATAATAGGATATATCAGGATATACTTGGTATGATATATCGAAGTATATCAAACCAATGAGTTGATGGGCACCGAAAACGCTTGGAGTTGGCTGGGCGGCCCCAGATTTTTAGGCACGGCAAGAAACATATGGGGATGCGTCAAAACCTCTGAAATTACATGACATTATCATATGACTGGAGGAATCAACATCCAGCGTTTTACCAGCTATGACTTTGGGTTCCGTGTGCCAGGCTGACTATTTCACATGTGAATCCGACACAACCATAGCGAGGCATAGCGCCATAGCTCCCGACTGGCTCCCTTCGCCAGGATTCAGCCGGGAAACATTGCTGCGAGTCATTGAACCTTCCAATAGGCCATGACAACTCAGATCCTGAGCGTCCGAGACATGGGGATGACATAGAAATGCCACGAAATTAAACCTTTCTATGGCCAAGAAAAACTATAATACGCTTTGGTTACCCTCTGGTAAACTAACATAGCTATTGAAAATGGCCATTTATAGTGGATTTTCCCATTAAAAATGGTGATTTTCATTGATTTTCCATAGTTATGTGAGTTTACCAGAGGGTATCTAATATAGCGAAGTGGAAAATCACCATTTCTGAGAGGTAACATCATAGGTACATCATGCATCAATGGTCCACTTTCATCCACTTTCCATAGCTATCTTAAGATACCAGAGAGTACCTCACCGCGATCTTCAGAAATGACAAGCACTCCATGGTTTTCCTATCTCGGAAGCCCTGTGCTGAAATGACGTTTTTTCAACAATGGCAGCGTGACATACATGGTAAGGGACTGGACATGCCGAAGAAAAAACATTGGTATTATCAGGATGTATCAGGATCTACCAGGATCTATCAGGTTTCTTTTCACAATCCTAAGAACTAACGCAACCAACACCCAACAAATAGTGGATTCCACCGAATGGATCGTCCAAACAAACCCATGAACTCCGTTGGTGATTGACCAATTGTGGGGCCGCCCATGGGTTCGTCTGGAAATTGTGGTTCTCCATCAAAAATGTTGGGGAATGTTGGGATTTTTCATGATTTTTCCATATGTTGGGAAATGTTGGGAAGACAATCAGCATATCTTCCAGGAAGATAAACATACCATTCTAGCTATCGGTATCACACCGACATATTATATCTGGTTGGTGGTTTCAAACATTTTTTATTTTCCATAATATATGGGATGTCATCCTTCCCATTGACGAACTCATATTTTTCAAGATAGTTAAAACCACCGACATATTATATATGAATATGACATATCGCTCCAAAATGTAACCATGAACCAACTGAGGTCAACTGTGTGCATGTTTTAAAGTGGATGGGAGATCTTCAGGATCCTAAGATGGAGGTGGACATAAACTAAGGCCATACGTTGTAGGGATATTCCCCGAAACCAAGGCCTTACATAAGCCTGACATAAATCAGTACCTCTAGTTTAGGTACCCTCTGGTAAACTAACATAATTATGGACAATCACCATTTTTAATGCGAAAATCAACTATTTCTATGGCCATTTTCAATAGCTATGTTAGTTTACCGGAGGGTATCTGAAGTATTCCCAGATTCACGCAACCATCGGGCCAACTACCATAGACTCCAAGAATGTCCATTGGGTGGCACCTCCCCTAGCAAGGGTCGATGTGCATCCCGTGAATGGTCAGCGGTTTATATAACTATACCTCATATGTCATCCCATAAAAGTGGGATCATTCCGAGTATATATATATATATACACAGTATATATATACATATATATATACAGTATATATATATATAATGTCAACATGGTATTAATCACCCCCCCTCAAACATTAAGAGCATCACAATAAAATCTAGGCCACACATTCACCTAGGGTTCCTGGGAAATTTTCAGACCTATGTGGCGCTGAACAAATTGCCTAATTGACAACGAATACATAAAGGGAACTTTTTTTCCACTTTAGTATTCCCAAATGAATTGCCTAATTGAACACGAATACATAAAGTGAACTTTCTTTCCACTTTAGTATTCCCAAATGAATTGCCTAATTGAAAGCGAATACATAAAGGGAACTTTCTTTCCACTTTAGTATTCCCAAATGAATTGCGTAATTGAAAACGAATACATAAAGTGAACTTTCTTTCCACTTTAGTATTCCCAAATGAATTGCCTAATTGAAAACGAATACATAAAGGGAACTTTCTTTCCACTTTAGTATTCCCAAATGAATTGCCTAATTGAAAACGAATACATAAAGGGAACTTTCTTTCCACTTTAGTATTCCCAAATGAATTGCCTAAGTGAAAACGAGTACATAAAGGGAACTTTCTTTCCACTTTAGTATTCCCAAATGAATTGCCTAATTGAAAACGAATACATAAAGGGAACTTTCTTTCCACTTTAGTATTCCCAAATGAATTGCCTAAGTGAAAACGAGTACATAAAGGGAACTTTCTTTCCACTTTAGTATTCCCAAATGAATTGCCTAATTGAAAACGAATACATAAAGTGAACTTTCTTTCCACTTGTATTCCCAAATGAATTGCCTAATTGAAAACGAATACATAAAGGGAACTTTCTTTCCACTTTAGTATTCCCAAATGAATTGCCTAATTGAAAACGAATACATAAAGGGAACTTTCTTTCCACTTTAGTATTCCCAAATGAATTGCCTAAGTGAAAACGAGTACATAAAGGGAACTTTCTTTCCACTTTAGTATTCCCAAATGAATTGCCTAATTGAAAACGAATACATAAAGGGAACTTTCTTTCCACTTTAGTATTCCCAAATGAATTGCCTAAGTGAAAACGAGTACATAAAGGGAACTTTCTTTCCACTTTAGTATTCCCAAATGAATTGCCTAATTGAAAACGAATACATAAAGTGAACTTTCTTTCCACTTGTATTCCCAAATGAATTGCCTAATTGAAAACGAATACATAAAGGGAACTTTCTTTCCACTTTAGTATTCCCAAATGAATTGCCTAATTGAAAACGAATACATAAAGGGAACTTTCTTTCCACTTTAGTATTCCCAAATGAATTGCCTAATTGAAAGCGAATACATAAAGGGAACTTTCTTTCCACTTTAGTATTCCCAAATGAATTGCCTAATTGAACACGAATACATAAAGGGAACTTTCTTTCTACTTTAGTATTCCCAAATGAATTGCCTAATTGAAAACGAATATATAAAGGGAACTTTCTTTCCACTTTAGTATTCCCAAATGAATTGCCTATATGTATGTATATATACTATATATATATATGTGTATACGTATATTTATATATACAGGGGAATGGCTCATTTACTAAATGAAGTCACGCATCCCAGTTCAGCGGGCTGATAATCGGAAAGAAGTCCTGTTTTCGCTCATCGGGGCAGGGTGTACCCGGCCTGGTAAACATACAAAACACAATGGAAAGGTCCAGCATTTTTAATGGGTAAATCAACTATTTCGATTGGGCTATGTTCAATAGCTATGCTAAATTACCAGGGGGTATTTGGATTCAAACAACACATGATTTATCACATGTGAGAAGAAAAAACAAATGATGTAAATGCAGAGAGAGGGAGAGAGCGCATATATGTAATTATATATATATACACATAAGTATATATGTAATATATATATATATCATGTCATATAAAACTATTATCCAATTCAACTCCGGGGAAGCTAGGTATTCACATATGACAGAGTGAAGGAACAGAGTGTGACTGAAAACGGAATATGCATGTTTGCCATATGCTTCCACTTCCAATTCCAATGGATTCTCAGCATTTTTCCCGATATTGACGATTAGAAAATGGGGTAGAGTTACTCACATGTTCATTTCTAGGCAAATCCATATGATCATCCCAATTTGCGGTGGTGTTTAACGATACCCCGCTGCTTCGCTGCGTCGCTGGCATCTTGGGGTTGCCCCATGACGTCCCGTGGCATAAGATTGCATAACTGGTTGGTGGTTGAGCCACCCCTCTGAAAAATATGAGTTCGTCACTTAGGATTCTTATTCCCAATATATGGAAAAATCATCCAAATGTTCCAGTCACCACCAACCAGATCAGATTGTATAACATGTTTCTCAAGAAAAAACAAAAAACATCTGGAGATGTTCATCAAAGGCCATTGCTTCGCCGTTGATAGCTTTGATCATCCAGGCCGGTCCAGTGGTCCTGTTCCAAGGCAGTACCGGTGGCCATGTGTAGAAGTTGTCGCAAGGTGATCTGCCTTGGCAAACCTCGGTGTGACATGGCTTTATTACAGGATGGGGCCCCCAAGATAGCGTTCAGTTGACATATAAGTGGCTGAATTCTATGGTTTATGGTAGATATAACTATAAATAACTATAGTTAATGGGGTTTATAAACAAACTTATAACTGGGGGGCACCATCTTGTAGTTGTAATCCATCAATGATTATAGCCAATAGATTATTATTAATTGGGTTTATGGAGTTGCACTACCTGAATGATTACAATATATTGTGTTCAATAATAAATAACAATGTGAGTATAGATCATCCCCAATAGCCATGTCCCTTTACCAGTTATAAGTCACTTATACCCCATTTATGGAATGATAACCGGATTTATAAGCATAAAAATAACTGGTAAAGGGCTTTAACTGCAATAACAATCAATAACCCAGGTAGTAGAACTCCCTCTAGTAACCAATCAACCAGGCAATTTTTACTCACGTTGCACCCTGATTTCATGACGAAAGGCCCCTGAAAATCCCGGATGGAAATTGCTTTGCTTTGCCACAAAACCTCCAGTCTTGCTGGTTTCAAAGCATGGTTACCCTCTGGTAAACTAACGTAACTATGGAAAATCACCATTTTTAATGGGAAAATCCACTATAAATGGCCATTTTCAATAGCTATGTTAAATTACCAGAGGGTAACCATTCACCAGTTTATCCAAGAATTTCCGGGGAAACTAAGATGATCCACGATCATCTTTTATTAGTTCGTTCATAGCATTTCCATTCACAACGTGTGATAATCCCCAATATGTAAAGGGTAGTATAAATCGCGAACCAATCATCAACCAACAGGATCTTTGAACAATCACTTATTCATAATTTAATTGTATTCCCATAAACGATGGTTTTTTAAAACCCACATGAACATATATATATATATATGTATATATACACATATATATATATGTATATATATATGTATGTATGTATGTATGTATATATATATACCCTAGTGCGCCAAATGCCCTCTGAGAAGGTGTTTAGAACTGTAGGGATATATAACAATGTTTAAATATCATATAGAAACACACACACACATGTATGTATACATAGATATTATACATAACGATGTTTAAATCCCACCTAAATCTCCAAGTCCAAGATGCATAAACTGAGATCTGCCACTTTCATGACCTTCATCACCGGCTCGATCGCCGAGTCGGAGAAGGTGATCGCAGGGATGCCACCCAGGTTCCTCGGGACGTCAAGGGACGTGACGCGCGTCGTGGGGGGTTCGGTAAAATGGGTCCCCAAAACCATATGTTTCACAAAAATGGTCTAATTTTAGATGATTTAATACTAAAATGGTCCAATTTGAGATGATTTAGAAAAAAATTGGGGTACCCCTCATGTCTATTTACCCCAGTTATAATTAAGCGTTTTAATGGGGAAAGTCGATCAACCGGTGAATGGAATGAGGGTATACATTCCCCATTTTCAGACAAACCAATCTTACTAAAGTATTATGGCGCCAAATTCCTCGCAATCGTCACACACATTTCAGAAAACCACGCACTGACTAGCTGTCAAACTGCTGCTGAAGGGTCCTTTTTGAGGTAGTATTCCTTGCAAAACGTCGTGACCTTTTTGACAGCGGCTTTTGTTGCCTCATCACCAGGCGCATCCTTTTGCAGGACCACCAGGTGCATCGCTGCAGCTGTTCGCCGTGCTGGGCCAGTGACACGGGCTGTGCTCGAGGATGGAGTGGAGCGAAGTCCCATTGCCAGAGCCGTGGTTTCAAGGAGTCTTTTTGGAATCAACCGAGAATCGCTTTCCAAGTGATACATCCAGCAATTCCCTTCAACCAACCCGACATGATATACCGAATCTCTATTTCGGGAAGGCAGTCAACAACCATCTGTGCCATGTTTAAAACATGTTGTTAAGGGTGTATCATTCCCTATGAAATTGATTCGTGACCATCCATCTGGGTAAATTCTAATAATTCACCAACCTGAAATGTTGGGCCATTTTGGGATGATTCCCCTCTTAAACCATTATTCCAGGCTTCGGGAGGACAGGGTTCGGTCGTTATAATTTTCCCAGATCCATGGCGATGTTGAAATCCTTAGTGGGCCCCATGGCCCACTGCCGCCCCATCTCTTCTTCCAAAATCCTAAAGAATTTCATCCCATGCAGGACAAAATACATCTACATACACATTGTATACTTATACCAGTAGTACCGCACAAGGCGTTGGCGGAAGTTTCAAAAATAGTAACCTATAGGAGAGGTTGGTTGTTGTGAATCACGGATGGCAGAGCGAAGCCACTGATGGATCCAAAGGTGGTTGAGGTCTCCTCTCTTTCTCTCTCTTTCTGTCTCTTTCTCTGACTATCTACTTACCTACCTACTCACCTATCTATGTATCCATCTACATATATATATATATCTCTCTCTCTCTCTCACTCTCACTCTCTCTGTCTGTCTATCTATCTAGCTAGCTAGCTAGCTAGCTATCTACCTATCTACCTATCTGCCTATCTATCGATCTATTTATCGATCTATCGATGTATCTATCTATCTATCTATCTACCTACCTACCTATCTATCTATCTATCTAGTCTGTCCATCTGCAAGCTTGAAAACGAAGCTATTCTGCGAGACGTCCTCAGTTTTTGAACTTGACAACATCAAAAACGCAGCAATTCTGCGAGACTTCCTCAATGTTTGAGCTTGCCAACGTCAAAAACGAAGCAATTCTGCGAGACTTATTCATTTTTCAAAGTTGACAACATCAAAAACGAAGCAATCCTGCGAGACTTCCTTCAAAAATGGAAAGTTGCGTGCAGCGCTGACGGCCTCGTACCAATGCGTTTTGCGATTTTTTCAGTACATTTGTCTAAACTACTGCGCCTGCCACGAAAAAATGATGCCAGGTCATACGAAGTGCTGCGCCTGTCACGCAAAATCATCTCAGCAAACCTGAAGATCTGATGCTCCAAAATGCAACCCCTCTCAAGAAATCAGCGCCCGGACCTCCTAACAGCTTTGATGAACATGTCTCTTGTACTGCGCCAGCCACGGAAAATGCATCTTTGCAGATCCTCTTCAAATGCCCCACGCCTGCCATCTTTTTTGGAAATGCTACAAAACCCTCACGTTCTGCTCACTTTTGACAAGGTCCACAATCCCTTGCGCCTGCCACGCGAAACGACATCCGAACGTCCAAAAGTGGCGCCAACATGTGGTGTTTTTAACATTTTGACTTCGAAATGTGCTTCACGCCACAACTGTGTGCACTTTTTCGACATCTCAACTTCCAAAAGCGGTCCGAACCTGGTGTGTTTTGTGCATTTTGACTTCGAAATGTGCTTCACGCCACAACTGCGTGCACTTTTTCGACATCGCAACTTCAAAAAGTGGTCCGAGCATGGTGTGCTTTCTACGTTTTGACTTCGAAATATGCTTCGCGTCACAACGGCGTGCACTTTTTCGACATCTCAACTTCAAAAAGTGCTCCGAGCATGGTGTGTTTTGTACATTTTGACTTCGAAATGTGCTTCGCGCCACAACGACGTGCACTTTTTCGACATCTCAACTTCAAAAAGTGCTCCGAACGTGAGGTGTTTTTAGCTTTTTCACTTGCAAATGTGCTTCGCGCCACAACGGCGTGCAATTTTTCATCCCTCATCTGGCCAGCTGGCTCCGCACCCGCCGCTTTAGCGAGCCTACTTTTCGACCCTCCGGAGCCACAAATCATTGGAAAAACACAGTGTTTTGCGACTTTCCTACCTTTTTCGCGCACCTGGATCTTCTTTCTTCTGGGACTTTCTCTTTTGTGATCTTCTTTCTTCTTCTCTTCTCTTCTCTTCTCTGACTCTTCCCATCTCTGTTTTTCATCTGTCCATATTGTCGGAAGTTTGACTTCTAGACTTCCTTCGATCACATTACATATCATACATATCTACTGTATATATATATATATAAAATATCCCATGATTGTCAGAGTGTATCTCAGATATTGTGCAAAACTCCCTCATGATATTTCTCCTAAATCCAGCTCAACTACATTTAGCCCTTGGCCATCCAAATGTTGTTTCCAAAAAATATCACAAATGAACATCAATCGATTATCATTGTATCATGTTTGTTCTTGTTTGTTATTCCCAAACCCACCATGATATTCCCACTTGAAGGAAACAAACACAAAATCACCATGTTTGCATGCTATTCCTATAAACATCGCATGGAAAATCACAAGTCAATCCACCAACTTGGATAGCTATCATAGATCAACATGAAAACCGACTATCAATCCTCATTTTTGTCGTTGAATCACATTTTACAATTAAATCTACCCTCTATAATATTCGCAATCCCATCAAAAATCAGCGATATTCATCCGCTAAACTATGTATGATTCATCCCATAAAAAAACACAGCTTAGATAGCATAAATCAATATCCATGGATAACCACACCGTATTTTTCGTTTGTTAACTCCCCATTTTTGCTGGTTACAGTTACGGCCCTTAACACTACTAAATGGGATGAAACAATTCCTGCAAGAGTTGGTTACATACAATCATGAAATAATATACATATATATATATCATATATTAAATAAATAATATATATATAATACATATCATTATTATTGTTAATTTTTAATTATGATATATATAACAATACATATCATATAATTATTCATTATTCTTATTGTTATATATATAGATTTCATTGTAAGCCAGTGATAACTGGTTAAATCCACATGCTGAAATCCCACATAATCCCATTGTGTTGTGATTTCCCATCATTTTCCCATCTGTTTAAAGGCTATTTTTCATGAAAGCAGCCATGATTAACTGCTTAAATCACATTTGTTTAATGGTGAAATCCAAGTTTTCATGGGTTTTTGTTGGTTAAATCCCAAGTTTCATGGGTTTTTGTTGGTGAAATCCCCATTTTCCATGGGTTTTTGTTGGCTACCTTGGTGACCCCAGATTCGCCGCGCCTGGTGGCCAGGTTGGCATCAAAGAAGGGCAACGAGACGCGATTCGCCACGAAGATCGAGGCCAAGGCCGAGGTGGTCAGCGGTAGCACCGAGTTGGGTAACGCCAAGACCTGGAAATTCGAGGGGTACCAGGTTTACCCTCTGGTTACTTGGGATTTAATGAGGTTTAATTGGGATGAAAAATGGGGATTTAATGGGATTATAATCCACTTAATGGAATATACCCTCTGGTAAACGTTTACAGTTTGCGAACTTGAACATGGTCATAGAAATAGTTGAATTACCCATCAAAAATGGTGATTTTCCATAGTTATGTTAGTTTACCATGGCTGAAAAATGTAAATGGGCTTATCTTACTTGTGCTTCATTAGTAGGGAATGAAAGAATGATCCACAATAACTATTAATAATCATCCCAGCAACCCCCATTCCCATCCATTCCCTGCTAAGCACCAGTAAGTTATAAATGGGCTTAAATGGTCATAGATTAACTATAGATTAACTTAATGAGATACGTAATGATATGACTATGTACTTAATGAACATGACTATAAATTAACTATAGATTAACTTAGATGAATGAGGATTTAATCATATTAACAGTAGTTTAGCTTGACAGTTTTAGCTTACACAAGGTCCTAACCATATACTTAATGGTCATGACTATAGATTAACATAGATTAACTATAGATACTTCACAAGATGATGAAATATTATAAACCACTATTAACCTACGGTTATCGGCCAAAACAACTATAAATGGGTGTTTAATGGTATACTTTAATTATAGGAGCTATAATTCCACTTACAACTCCTAAGGGCCATAACTGTAATTATCTCGATGAATTATAAACCATTCAGTTCGGAGGTGCCATTATTACCAGATTACCAATTATTAACCTCTACACAAACCTGGATTATTGGGTAATATTAAATATTTGGTTAATAGCTTTAATGGTAAATAGTTTACCTATCTTTATTCTAATTATTACCACCATCAATAATGGTCTGACCAATCCCAATGTTATGATAATGGATTGAAATAATAATAATAATAATAATAATAATGGATTGAAGTACTGGTTTCCAACTATTAGGTGAATAATGGCTTGCCAATATAATTGTGATGAATATTCCTATGGTTTCCATTATAAACCATTATCCATCATCATTATTAACCTAATATTACCACATTATTTGATGGGTTTAACCCTATGTTCCCAACGTTTTTTTGGGCAAATCATTAGGTTAATAATAGTCAACTATTCCCATGGTTACTAATATATACCAATAATAAAACTTTGTGGTATTCCCATCAATTGTTTTGGTTATCACCTGGGATAATATTCTTCACTTTTTGGGATAATGATGAATATTGCCATTATATTCCCATGATATTCCCATACCAATCTGGTTGGTGGTATACCAACCCCTCTGAAAAATATGAGTTCGTCAGTTGGCGGTTATTATTCCCTATATATGGAAAGTCATAAAATTCCATGGTTCCAGTCACCACCAACCAGTGATAATTGATAAATGTCTTCATGTGGCCCACCACGACGGTGGGTTTTTTGGGCTGGTTGATACAGGATGGGGCCCCCCAGATATAAGTTGGTTTATAAACCATTATAATCCCCATTAACTAGTTCGTTATATCTACCATAAACCATAGAATTCAGCCACGTATAAACCAACTGAACGCTATCGAACGGGGGCCCCATCCTGTAGGGATTCATCCCATCCCCATCCCCATCACCTCAAAGACGGTGATGGCCATGGCGAAGGCCCGACACACCGCGGCGCAGAAGGCGGAGGCACCCACGATGGCACAGCGGGCCATAAAGGCGCCGCGGTCCGCCTCCGTGGGGGGCATGCCTTGGAAGCCGAAGTTGTGATTCCACGGAGATTTCACGGGAGTATTAGGTTAATATGAGTATGTGTATATATATATATATATATGTCAGTTGGGATGATTATTCCCAATATATGGAAAATATGTTCTAAACCACCAACCAGTATATATGTATATGTATATATATATATGTATATATATATATATGTATACATATATATATATAATAATAATAAATAATAATAATAATGATAATAATAATAATAATTAGGAAATGTAGAGTCTTAAAACACTGGGATTATAGGATATATGGATCAAAAAATCATATAATGGAATAGAATGAAATTTGTGGGAGTCACTAACTACCTTTGTTAATAACAACTGGATATATAGCTAATAACAATGCCATGATGGGATATAATAATCGATATATCAATTTGATATACTGGGATGTCAAGGGATTTATACCATTATCACTAACTATGACTATTATAACTTTGGCATTAATGGGATATATTAGGGTATTGACATTACTCCATAATAACCATCATAACTAGTGACAATAATTTGAGCGCAGTTGGGGTCATAATAATGCTATATGGAAATGATATAGGATATATTGAATTCATATAGCGGGATATGATTCAAAAAAATCATAGGGGTCACACACTACCATTGCCAATAACAATGGGATTAGTGGGGGATTAATTATCATGGGAGATAATGGACAATTGCGGCTATGATAATATTGTCACTAACAATGATATTTATGATACATAATGAGATAAAGCTGATATAACATGATATAACAATTATATAACCAACGTTACTCACAAGAACAATAATGTCAGTGACAATAATAATACTAAAACATACTGTATCTAACAACAATGATAGCAAACATAATAATGGGATATAAAACCAATAACAATATATTTTTCCACCTTGTCCCAAGTATGGGATTGACCAGTGGGAAAACAAAGTAAAATAGAATTATCTTCAGCAATTCCAGCTTATTGGTGGTATCCAACATTTATACCTTCTCGTAATTCTTAACTTCAACATGGTCATGGAAATTTCATTAAAATCGCCATTTTGGTAGGAAAAAACATCAAAATTGGCAATTTTCCATCAGTGTGTTGTGAAAAATACCGAAGGTAGCCTAAGCTACTGTAAGTTACTGTATAAGTTGCATGAAGTTGTCTGAAAGTTCATTTTCTTTGAAACTCGAAATAGATGAGTTTCTTGTATTACTTTTTGACAGAATAAAACACATTTGAAGATCTAATGCGATATATGAGTCCATTTACCCTCTGGTTATTTAACATAGCCATGGTATAGATGGCCCATTTATAGATGGTTTACCTATTAATAGCATGGTGATTTTCCATGGCAAACTGTTAAATAACCAGATGGTAATGATTTTTGTTGAACATACTTTTTTGTCAATACATAGGAGAACTGGGTCAAACTTTCCGGATCCAGTTTTGAATTCAGTTGGACCCTAGCAATGTTTGGCATCTGGCCGCCCTAGCAGTTTCCAGGCTTAGGGATTCGGTCCAGCTTGGCCAGGGGTATCTACGGTATCTGGATACACAAATCACGCGACGAAATTGCCACAAGATCTCCTCAAAGGATTTCTCAACTAGCTTGACAGCCATGAATTTTCCTTCCCCCAGTGGGACAAAGCACCAATCACCAGCCCAAAAACAAAAGCTTGATGAAAATCGGAATGATTCCCAAAAATCCAGCGCTTTGAGGCTTGATCATCATGCTCCCCATTAAAATTCTCCATACAATACTTGATGGCTCCTCCCAATTTACTAAGTAGGATATATCCATGGTTATAAGTGGGATAAGTAGGGCCGAAGTAGGGTTAATCCACTTACAAATAGGGTTATCATCTACTTAGTAGTTAAGTGGAATGATCCACCTACAGTAGGGTGATCTCTCATCAACTCTCATCCTTGCAGGACAGGCCCAAGGTGCCGTTCTTACTCAGCAGCATATCCACCAGCCACGCTGGTAGGATCACATGTCCCCAGACGCGCCCCAGCAGCCCACCGATGATCATGGTGGGTGCCACCACTCCGGCAGGAATGGCTGAGGAGAGCGCTAGGATTGTTGTGACCCATTTCATCAGAAAACAAAGGAACCTCAGCAATTGAAAACCACAACTTTCACCCGGTTGGTTGGTGGCTGGATGACAATTGGTGTGTGGGCTAGACTATTAGCCAATAGATTGGGGATCCCCTCAACATGAATGGACGATTTCAGAATCATTCGTATGGATTTTACGCATCATTTAGATGGGGAGATATTTGATAAACTGGTTGGTGGTTTCAACCCCTGTGAAAAATATTAGTCAACTGGGATCATTATTCCCAACTATTGGGGAAAATAAAACATGTTCCAAACCACCAACCAGTTATGGTTGGTTGATGATGACAGGTTATCAAACTACCCGTTGAAAAAGAACACATTAGGGAGTATCATCTATAGAAGCTGGGAATCTAATGTTGTTGTCAAGTTGAAAGACTGTGGATATTGTGTAGCTGGGCTGAGTAGCTCTACACCTCAGGGTTTTGGCGCCTAGTTAGTCTTGGAGAAGCATCTAATGGATAAACCACTTCTCAATGGTAGACTTTTTTGTCTTAGGGGGAACGGAGTGAGCTGACCTCAATGGGGCGCCCAGTGTCCAGCCTGAAAAGTGGACACATGGCATGGCCCTCATTGGGCAAGTGAAATTCGATTGCCTGTGTCAAGGCTCTTGAAATTGCACAACTCAAGTACCCCAACTACATGATTAAAATTGACGACCTGTTTTTGTTGGAGGTATGGATCAGCAATCGGCTTCAACACCTACCAATTGGCATTATTTTTCTGTGTGATATGAACTACAGTATTTGTTTATTGTTTCCATTGTTTCCATTGTTTCCATAGATGCTTGGGTGCAAGCATGGCTTACTGTAATTTATCCATTCCTCCTTGATAAATGATGTCATGTCACTGTGTAGATTTCGAATGGGATTTCGCTGGGGGAGTCAGCTGAGCCACATGGTACCAGCAACACCCACTGGTAGAAGCCACTCATCGTGAGAAGTCCTCAGTCCACATAGGAACTCAGTAGCACGGAGAGGTCTGGGTATGGAGTGGTATAGCCAAAAAAAATGGCCACACAGCCACATCATAATCATGCTGATAATGTTAGTGGTGATAACACTGATTATAATGATCACAATTGCAATAACATGTTGTTTCGGATAACAATGATATAATGATTATCAAGAAAACCAAAAATCAGATTCGTAGTAAGCAAACCAGTTATCTTACGCAATCATTCCGATGAAACATGTCAAACATAAGTATGAGTACTAAGTAAGAAATTTAAGTGAATCCACCACCACCTTTCCATCTTTCGGTCCAGAAAACTAACATTATCCATATATTTCCATATATTTACATACATTTCCATGCATATATATATATATACATATATTTCCATGTTTCCATATATATTCAACATATTTCCACATATTTCCATATATCTCCATATATTTACATATATTTCCATGTATTTACATATATTTACATCTATTTCCATATATGTGTCCATCGTCTTCCAAGACATCTTCCAAGCTCACATGGCCATGGTCCCATGGCCAAGGCTAGCCAAGGCTCAGGGTCTTGTCAAAGATGTTGGAAATCAACAAGGGTTGTGGCTTGCCCCCCAGCAACGGCAGTAAGGACGCCAAATAGGTGTTGAAGGCCGTCACCGAGGCGACTAGGAAGAGGTCTCGCCACTTGCCGCCTGGCACGGGCTGGGATGGTGGAACGACCCATGGGGATGAGGCAACCCCTATAGGTGAAAACAGGCAGAAAAGGGCAACCACTGATTATAGTAGGAGTCTGATAAAAAAGGAGTCTCGGAGTTGACTTTTGATCATCGTTTTTTCAATGGGAGATCTCCAGGATCCTAAAATGGAGGTACTGTACCATACAAGGCCATATTTTGTGAGGATATTCCCTTACATAGGCCTTATATAGGCCTTATATATGGTAGGTACCTCCAATTTCGGATCCTGGAATGGCCATTGATTTTTGGGGGAGCCTATGGATCCAGACCCTGTAAGGGAGTACTTGGGGTATGATAGGGGAGTTGTAAGAAAGAAGACAGCACAATTTACATAATATTGACAATTGGTCGCATGGGGAGTGCAGCAACATAGGCAGTTTCGATTGCAAGAATGGGGCCAGCAACAAAACCATGCCAAAACCAGCAATCCTGGTGGAATATCATCCCAAACATCGTAATCAACCTCTGCATGGCATGCTTGCACCGCTGCAAACATAAGAATTTTCAAATCATGGGTATCCAAACTTGAGGCTTAACATTTAACTGGCGCATGGTCTATGTTGAGACGGCGTTCAATTTCTTACCACCTATGAATAGGAACCAATTTCGACCATGGCTCACATGGCACAGTTCAAAAATGGTAAACCCTCGTTTCAGGCCTTTGCAAGCACCCTGTGCAGTAACAACAAATAACGACAACCAACTGTCATGAGTTGTCATGACTTTTCCTGAATTTGATTCGGTTCTGCAATGTTTGAACACTGCTGGTAGCTGATTCGGGCTGTAGCTCACGATTCTTACCCCAACTTTGGTGAAATCATGATCTCCCAGTCTCCCACATCCTTCATTTTGATGGTTCAACCTTAGTGAAGTCCTTCAAATCCTTCGTGTTTGATGCTTGAACTCCCAAGTTTTCTTACTTGAAATCCCACCAGACGGATCGACACGGATCGCCCGTGTTGCTGTGGGAAAACACCCATTTCTGAACTTCTCCAAAAATCACTCCGCATAAATCACCAATCCCAATACTTCTCCAAAAAACCCTAGAGAAATTGTTCCCAAAAACCATCGTTCACTTCCACATCTTCAGCACCTGGGTGATCCCCGCCTAAAGGCCACAGCAAACATCGCTTCAGCCCCGCACAGCAGCGGTTCCGTCGCGGACGCTCGCCGGACAGCAGCGGCTCCTGGTTGTCGGCGAAGGCGACCTGCAGATCATCCCGGATGGTGGCATTAGGACGGTTTTATGGTGGGAATTTGACATATAGCTATAGAAAATGGTGATTTCATGGGATTTTAATAGGATTATCATAGGATTTAATGGGAGTTCATGGTGGTTTCGTGGTGATATAGTTGGGATTTACTGGGATTTCATGGAATACCATGAGTTATATTTCTAGTACTACTGTAGTAAGTAGTAAGGAGGATCATCCCACCTAATAACTGGTTGATAACCACATTTATCAACACAGCTATACATATGGAATAACTCCACTGAATAGGGACGTATTATGTAATGGTGGCAATTTAACATAGCCATGGCAAACACAAACACACCTGTACATGAACGCAAAATTCAAAAAAGGCAAACATACTTGATATGACAGCTACAAAATGCTACCAACCGTCTTTGGGAAGGCAGCCGGACTCGACGTTCAGAATATGACTGGTGCAAATCCATGCTCCGGGAAGTCTCACCATGCATAGCGCCCAGCAAACGAGAGCTATGGCAAATGGCCCATTTGCAGATAATTTACCATAATTGTGGTAGATATAACGATATAGACCAACGTCTTTCTTTTTTGATTCAAAATGTTTGGCAAACATCTGGTTTTGTTTTTTGTTGGATTTCGAAAGCAACTTTTGGAATTGGAACACACATTAATATATATATAGATAGATAGATAGATAGATAGATAGACAGTAATTGAAAACATATATTCTTTGGCTCAAACACTTCTTCGTTTAGTTTTGAAAGTGTCCTGTTTCGGGAAACCAAACCTGAAAGTTCAAAATCACTTGGATGAATGCTCCATTACCATTGGCCATTGGATATATAGTCATTATGGAAAATACATACAATGTGGCGCCCCCAAGATAGCTGAGTTGGTTTAGAACCACAATAACTAGGGTTTATGGTAGTTATAACCATAGTTAAATGGGGTTATAAACCAACTTATCACGTTTGGGGGCCCCACATTGTAGGAGACCAACCCGCAACACGGCGCGGCCCAGTCGGCCCAGTCGGCGCCTCGGGTTCGCTCTCCCGCAGTCGCCAGCGCTTCAGGCGCCCTGCGGTGTAACCGTGGCATTTCACCCAGAAGCCGCCAGCCAAGCCGCAAACGATGCCCAAGGCGATGTCGATGAGCAACCGGAGAATCTCGGAGTTGGAATTGCTGTGCGCCAGATTTTTTGCGTCGATGTTCAAATATGTGGTTGGTTTAATTGATATATGATCAACATGTATATATATATAATATGTGTATATAATTCAAATGTGATGATCATTTTATCTTGTTGGGCTGCCAAGCATGAGAATCTGAGATCCTTTTGTGATCCGAAGCGCTCCAAGCACGGCAGGTTTGTCGAGACGATCTTTGCATATGTGGGGAACCAGTTACATGGGATGAACAAACAATCCAACCAACCATATTGCAATATGTTTTTATTCATACATAGAAAAATAGGTATGTAGAAATATAAATAAATAAATAGATAAATAAAAAAATAATTAAATAAATAAATGAATTACTTTACTTCGTGTGATCCCCACCATGACATTTATACATGTTCTTACTGGCACATCTTCTGGCATTCTATCTGACATATCTTCTGACATTCTATTTGGCATTCTATCTAGCATATCTTCTGGCATTCTATCTTCTGGCATTCTATCTGGCAAATCTTCTGGCATTCTATTGGCATATCTTCTGGGTTCTGGCATATCTTCTGGCATTCTATCTGGCAAATCTTCTGGCATTCTATCTGGCATATCTTCTGGCATCTTCTATCTGGCATCTGGATCTGGCATATCTTCTGGCTATCTGGCATATCTTCTGGCATTCTATCTGGCAAATCTTCTGGCATTCTATCTGGCATATCTTCTGGCATTTTATCTGACATATCTTCTGACATTCTATTTGGCATTCTATCTGGCATATCTTCTGGCATATCTTCTGGCATTCTATCTGGCAAATCTTCTGGCATTCTATCTGGCATATCTTCTGGCATTCTATCTGACATATCTTCTGGCATTCTATCTGGCATTCTATCTGGCATATCTTCTGGCATATATTCTGACATATCTTCTGGCATTCTATCTGGCATTCTATCAGGCATTCTATCTGGCATATATTCTGACATATCTTCTGGCATATCTATCTGGCATATCTTCTGGCATATTTTCTGGCATTCTACCTGGCAAATCTTCTGGCACTCTATCTGACATTTTATCTTCCTACATGAGGTCCGGCAGGGAACACTTGGCGTGGATACTCGCGGTTGAGGTCCGGCAGGGAACACTGGGCGCGGATGGTCGTGGTTGAGGTCCGGCAGGGAACACTGGGCGTGGATGGTCGTGGTTGAGGTCCGGCAGGGAACACTGGGCGTGGGTGGTCGTGGTTGAGGTCCGGCAGAGAACACTGTGGATCGCGGTTCGCAGTTGAGCCAGGACGACGAGGACGACGAGGAGGACGAGGAGGACGAGGAGGAGGAGGAGAGGAGGACGAGGCAGGAGGAGGCGGAGGAGGAGGAGGAGGAGGAGAAGGAGGAGAAGGAGGAGGAGGAGGAGGCAACTGACATAAAATCTAACAACCCTCACCTGGCAGGTGGGGAATAAATAAATAAATATATATATCCGCCGACCCCAACTTTTGCTGTCCGGCAGGGTTCCCTGTGGATTTGGCAGCAACATATGCACATCAAATGATTCTGAGTTCTGATTCTTCGCTATTGGGTTTCAGAAGGGACGTTCGGCACTATTTCGGTGCTGTTTGGCACCTATTTCGTCCTTCCGTGCCATGCTGTTTTGCTGTCCGGCAGGTTTACCTGTATATATATATATATATATTAATATATATATATATATATATAAATACATATATTATATATTAATATTAGCATTAATAAAATTATATATATATGAATGTATATATATATATAAGGATTATGTGGTGAGACAAGCATATACATGCATATACAATGTAAGTTCAACTCCAATGTTTTCCGGGGTCGGTGGCAGGGGCGGCAGCAAGGCCAGGCCAAGGCACAGGGAAGTCTGTGTCGATGCCCTCCCCAGGCAGAACATTGGAACTGATCAGAGGCAACAGTCCGGAGGCACCAGTGGTGACGCTTCGCTCCACTGCATAGCAAATCGAGCCTGGTGCTGCCACCGAAGGTTTTTACAAAAGCAGTTTTTATTATAATGGAAACATTGATGATGGTGATGGGTGATGATGATGATGATGGTGGTGGTGATGATGATGATGACGATGATGATGGGTGATGACTTTGATGACGAGTGATGATTTTGATCGTGGTGATGGTGATGATGGTGATGCTGGTGATGCTGGTGATGATGGTAACGATGCTGATGGTGGTGATGATGATGGTGATGATGGTGATGGTGATGATGGTGATGATGGTGATGATGGTGATGCTGGTGATGCTGGTGATGCTGGTGGTTATGGTGATGGTGGTGATGGTGATGGTGATGATGGTGATGACGGTGATGATGGTGATGACGGTGATGATGGTGATGCTGGTGATGATGGTGATGATGGTGATGATGGTGATGCTGGTATACATATATTTGCTGAATGTATATGAATATAAAATATTTCATAATGGTAATCGCTATTTTGGAAACACCATCTCCCCAGCCTGTCATCCAAAGTTCCAACATGTTCCAACCATTTCACCAGGCTTGACAGAAAAAACGCACGCCATGCGAATCTACCCTGTGGTAATTTGTTACATAGCTATGGACGACCTATGGCCAATTGGCCAATCCATTTAGTTCGATGATCTACTTTGATTCCCATAGCCATAGCTATGGATAGCGATAAACAGATAAACCATGCCCCCCAATCCTAGAAGCCTTTTTGTATAAATAGACGGTGCCATTTACCATCATTCACCAACCTTGTTGGTTTATTTAAGGGATACACCCAACCTTTTTATCAACCAACCAGGGATAAAAGGACAGCCATGATGAGAATCACCCAACTCATGGCAGGCTCGTCAATGGGAATTGAAAAGGACCCTAAAATGGAGGTACGGTAGAAGGCCAGATGAGGGTTTCCTAAAATGGTGGATACCCCCAAACAGATGGTTTATTTCATGGAAAATCCCAATCTAAAATGGATGATTTAGGGGTACCCCTCTATTTTTCCGGGAAAAAACACATATTTTCAGGCGAAAAAAGCCCACATACAGCGGCCACGTCTCAACCAAGGTACCCACCACGCTGGCAGTGAAACATCCCCAGTACGCGAAGGCGTCGTAAGTCTGCGGCAGCATCAGCTCCAAGGAGAAAATCACGCCGCCGATGGGTGCGGAGAAGGAGGCCGCCACCTCGTAAACGAACTAACAGTTACTTGGGGATTTAATGAGGTTTAATTGGGATGAAAAATGGGGATTTAATGGGATTATAATCCACTTAATGGAATATACCCTCTGGTAATGACAAAATAGCTATTGAAAATGACCATAGAAATAGTGGATTTACCCATTGAAAATGGTGGATCTTTCCATAGTTATGTGGCTGTTTACCAGGCCGGGTAATGTTTGGGATTCCGGCCATGTTCTCCCAAGAAGCGGCCAAATCTGAATGGCTAAAATTCATGGTCCACCCTTGAAAAAGCTCCTTGAAGCTCTTGGTAAAGGGAAAGCAGGGGGACGAATAGCACCAATGAGTAAACCACATGGGACGCCCAAAAACCCACACCACAATGATCAACGATGGATGCCGGGTTGGTGGAGCTTTCCCGTGCCCATCTCGAACGATTTTTAGGAATAAACACGCTCTTGCCTGGAGGCTTGGCCAACGCCGCGTCTATGCGTCTCAACAGCTGAATTTCTTGGAGTGGTTTATTACCAAAACTCACCATTGTTTACCATTACTAAGCATCATCCCAGATGATTAAGACCCACAAGATCAACCATTACTAAATGCTACCATTATTGCTATTAGCAATGGTATCACTAACTAGAAACCATCATTTAATCACTATATTAACCATTATCCACCATTTGATGCTTGAATCCACCATCTTTGTGTCTCAAACCCAAGCCCGGCTTGACCGTTCAGTATCGCTATCAGCTCTCATTAATGTGGGTAAAACAATCATAAACCATTTAAAGCTGGGAATGGTTTCTGGTTGGTGGTTTGAAACCCTCTGAAAAATATGAAAGTCAGTTGGGATGATGAAATTCCCAATATATGAAAAACCATAAAATTCAAGTTCCAAACCACCAACCAGGTTTATACTATATAATTTATACATTTAAATGGATGGTTTATCAATGGGTTTATCAATGGCTTTAATGGTTTAGTCATCATCCATTTATGATAAACCATTCATCCATATGGTATACTAATGGGAATGGATGAATGGTTTATCATAAATGGTTTATCATCCATATGGTATATTAATGGTTTAGTCATCATCCAAACCACCAACCAGGTTTATACTAATTTGTACTAATTTAAATGGATGGTTTATCAGCTCTCATTAACTATGTGGGTAAAACAAACATAAACCACTTATATATTTGGGTATGGATGAATGGTTTATACTAATCTATCTGGTTGGTGGTTTCAACCCCTCTGAAAAATATGAAAGTCAGTTGGGATGATTATTCCCATATATTATGGAAAACGAAAAAATGTTCCAAACTACCAACCAGTTATACTGATTTATCGGGGAAAATTATAATATTTCACTAACCTGAATAGTTGGGCCATTTGGGGATGATTCCCCTTACTAACTATGATTTCCAGTGAGGTCGCAGTGAGGTCGTTATAATTTACCCAGATTTATTATACATCTATAATTCCACAAATATATGATTCCACAATATTGACCATGGTTCACCAATTATAGCCACTATATTCACCAATATATCCACTAATTTATGGTGATGACTGGGGCATGGTTTCGGATCGTTTGATCACCGCACAACATCGCCCAGCGACTCCCACGGAGGTCGCTGCCAGCAAGAGTTTGGAGACGGCCGACCCGACGCCCGAGCCACCCGCACCGTGGGCGCCGTGACCTAGGCGAAAAAGGGCCGGGTTTCTGTGGTTTCAATGGATAGTTCACAATGTTAGTAAAGCAATGAGTCTCTAATGGATTTCTAATGGTTTGTAATGGATTTCTAATGGATTTCTAATGGTCTTGGTAGTTGTTAGCAATGCCATAAGTAACCCATCCATATGTTCATGGCTTCTAATGGTTTCTACCACAATAGAATGGTAAATTTAAGGGGATGGCTTACTATTTCTTTACGAAGATTAGTGGTTAATGGTGGGCAACAGTGGCGAATCATGTTTCATGGAAATTTTCATGGGCTTTGTTGGGAATGCCCTCTGGGAATCACCGCAGGCTCGGAAATCCCCAAACGAAATGGCAATGGGAAAATCATCGAACGAAATGGCTGGGATTTTCCAGCCACCTTTGAGTCCTGCAGGCTGACCAACATGGGGATTTGACCACTTGAACATACTTAACATGTGGATGATCAAATATGGGAGCTGAATGATAGGACTGATAGGTGATGAAAACGCTGCAAAAAAATGCAAAACCCATGCGGAAAAACCAACTTGGGGGTTGACTCTCGATATTTCAGCAACGGGAGTCTAGGGAGAGAGCTCCAAAATGGGAAGAGCCAAATTAATAACATTTAATAACCATCAAAAATCAAAAATGTACAGTATGATTTTTGTTCAATTGAGAACCTACAAAAATTCATAAAATGATCAGATCAAATTATGAGGATTCAACCAACAGACATTGGAAACAAACAACCAGCCAGCAACGCGTAACACAACAACTGGTGTCACCCCCAAATATGGGGATTTTTACTGGGCAAAAATGCCATCATGCCATCCACAAACATGGGAATGTCACCAAAAAACAGAAGGATTTGACCATACTACAACCAGTGCTTACCAGGGCCAATTGGACACGGCCCCGCAAAGGCACTCAGTTTTGCTGCGAAAATGAACTGACCAAAATATGAATTGGATGTGCCTGAAAATGACTTGTATAACCCCATTTATTGCAAGTTCGAAAATGATGAGACACCACGATAAACCATGAACCCGAAACCCGAAACCCATCTCCAATCACGGCACCACGTACCACGTACCGATGGGTTTGCCTCAAACTGGGGTACAGACTCTGATCCTTCACTTTTTACCACTATTACCCTCTGGTAATTTAACACCATGGCCCATTGAGTTCGTTAATTTACCTACTAAAGATGGTGATTTTCCATAGCGAACCGTTAAATTACCAGAGAGTATTTGATGGCTGCTTTGGGGGTAGGGGGGTCCATTCTCAGACCCACCATATGCATCCATATCCAACTTTGGAAGTGCACCTGCCAAGCACTGAAGGTTTCACTGAGCTGCTGCTTTCCACACGTTTTGCAAAGAACTTGGGATCCACCACCCGGGCAATGCAGGCGGCCAAGTGCACGTTCGGACCTTCCTTACCTTGGTTCTTCTCAAAATCAAACTGGTACCCTATGGTCATCAGACATGGCACTGAAAAATCGGAAAATGTTCCATTTATATGTTTTTTTTACAATTTAGATGACCACTTATAGGAGGATTTTCCATTGACATGTTTGACTACCGAAGGGTGCTTTGTCGAACGATTATTATAACATCCATCAACCTCTATGAATGTTTTTTTGTTTTACATTTGATCATTTAGGCTATATCGGCGCTATCATTGTGATCATTTTTATCGGTATAAATATATCTTTGAAAAATACCACTGGGGGAATAACTGGGGGCCTCATGATTGGTGCCCCGACAGGCGCATGCCTCCCAGAGACACATCCTGGCCAGGCCAGTTTGGTTTGAATCCCAAAAAGTCACAGACATAGGCGTAGAGTCAGACACGGCTGTTTCACAAACAAGGTTGCATCATTGACTGCGCCCAACCCTAAATGAATGAACGTGTGCATATAAATCGAAACAATATAATATATACATGCAACTAAGCACATATTAAAAAACAGATCAAGTGTCCATGCTATCCCATTTTCTGTTTTCGAGGTATCCAAGGTGTTCAGAAATATCCAACATCCATTCTTCACTGGAAGTGTCCTTATTTTTTGATGATTAAGTCCCTAGTTTTGGGGGTTTAACATGTTCGCCCCAACCCGGACGTTGCTCCACACTTTCAATCGTCATGATCATGATCATGATCATGATCATCATCATCATCATCATCATCTCATTAAAATTCGCCACCCACTCTGAACAATATGTTGACTGGGGTAATAACATCAACTTTAGCTTCATGAGGGTTCAAAATTCGCCACCCCCTATGAACTATGTTGATTGGGGTAATAACATCAACTTTATCTTCATGAGGGTTCAAAATTCACCACCCCCTATGAACTATGTTGATTGGGGTATGAACAATATGTTGATTGGGGTAATAACATCAACTTTATCTTCATAAGGGATCAAAATTCGCCACCCCCTCTGAACAATATGTTGATTGGGTTAATAACATCAACTTTATCTTCATGAGGGGCCAAAATTCGCCACCCGCTCTGAACCATATGTTGTTTGGGGTAATAACATCAACTTTATCTTCATATCCACCTGAATTCACCTGAAGTCAGACGTGGCGCAATGTCAGGGTTGCGGCGATGTTACATGTTTTAACCCCCATTTTTGGATGATTTCCTGCAGCCGAGGCGGCCAAGAGGTAAGCCGGCGCCAACCCCCAGAGCCAGCGCCAAGGCTTTGGAGATCAGGACCCGCAAGGTCAAAAAGTTAAAGAGCACCTGCGGTGCTGGATCAAGCCACTTAGCCTCTGGTAAACTAACAATTAGTTGGGGATTTAATGAGGTTTAATTGGGATGAAAAATGGGTTTTAATGGGATTATCCACTTAATGGAATATACCCTCTGGTAAACTGACATAGCTATTGAAAATGGCCATAGAAATAGTGGATTTACCCATTGAAAATGGTGGATCTTTCCAGTTCGTTTTTTGTATGTTTACCAGAGGGTAACTGGTTAGACATAGTTAGCCGCAATTGAACAGTTTGCTATTGAAAATTGCCCATTTATAGTGGATTTACCCGTTGGAAATGGTGATTTTCCAAAGTTTTTTGTATGTTTACCAGAGGGTAGTAATGCCAGTTAAAGTTGATTGCTGTATATATAAAATGATACTCCTTGTAAAATAATGTCATATGGGTGTCTTGAACCTTCTCATCCTTCTCCGGATAAATATATACTGATTTAAACCATTAGTAAGTCCCCGATTCTACCTGTATTTAAATGGCTTGTAACTCGGCCTAGGATCGATGATCCTCCAAGTGGCGCCAGACACCGAGGCGTACGGGAGATTTACGCATCATTTAGTGATTGAAACATCAAACAAATATCAAACATATGCGCAGTGAAAATATTGGCAAGTCATGAAAAAATCCAATCATATCCACATGATATCCCCATATCTTGTGGGTTGTATCCAAAAAATGGTTGGTGTAGTGTACTCTCATTACATCCTACTCTCTATTACATCCAACGTGGTGCCCATTTTGTCTGCAAGATAAGTTGGTTTATAAGATTTTATAAGTAGATAGCTTAACGAGGAGTTGTGGTAGAAATATCGAAGCTAATGGGGCTGTGGCGATTCCAAGTAGCCAATCAAAAAAGCGGGAATCTTTCATGGAGACAATGGGGGTTAGCGATATCATTGCTCAATTGCGTTACAAAATACTATGGGCCAAATTGGGTCCCCGAAAATTAAATGGTTCACTGATAAAATGGACGGATATCTGCTGTCCTTTGAGTCTTTCATTCCACCTATACGCCACACGAAGCTATTTCTTGGGATTAATTATCATTGGGATATTTCATATTATTTCATGGGATATAGATAGCCATATGGTTCTGGAAGTTCATTGCCATCCCAGTTTGAAATCCACTTCTCATCTATTCTGAATGGTAAAAGAACAAACTAGTTCTCTACAATGTCGGGCCCCCAAGATAGCTAAGTTGGTTTACAACTACAATAACTAGAGTTTATGGTACTTATAAGTATAGTTAGATGGGGTTATAAACCAACAAACATAACGTTTGGGGGCCCCACATTGTATAGTTGGCTTGCAAACACCTCAGCAACCACTGAGATAGTGGGATCACTAGGATCGGTGTATCCGATGGCGGGAACCGATGGGAATCGTGGGATGGTCGTTGGGCTGGCTGGTGCCTTGCGGGGCATTTCGTTTTTGACAAATGACAATCGACAATCAACCGACAGCGAAAACGAAGGAAGATTTAATGTTTTTTTTTTTTAAGGGGACAGGCTCTAGTGAACAAGAGCCTAAATGGAAATCATCATGTTTGAGAGGGCTTCACCACCAAAAAACTCTCTTTCAATATCAAACGGTTGATTTATTGGGGGGTAGCCACCAGAAAATCCTGGGGCACATTGGTAATTTGGATCCTCTGGCCACCAAACAATGTTCCATCCAACCAGAATTCGGCCAGCAGTTCTCAGGGCGTGAAACATGCATTTGAAACATGTATACTATGTTTAATGTTGGAAAACATGTGTTTAGCCAGATGTTAAATGATAGTTTCAATGAAACATGTATTTGACTCAATGACTTCGTTTGTGGATGTACTCAGTTTGACACCCTGCAGTTGCGCGGAAATCAAGCAGTCACGCGGGAAAATAAGGAGGATCACGACAAAACATGGGATTGCACTTGGAAGGATGGCTTCTCACCCCTGCAAAATGAGACATGTTCTCTGTTTCCTTATTATACATCATATATATGTCCTCTATAAGCATCAAGCTTTGAGTGTGGAACTATCTATGAAAAACACATGTCAGGTGATGTTCACCCCAGTGTGTTCAATTCCCAAAAAAGGACATCTCTGAACCCCGTGAACCTGTCCGTTGTAAAAAGGGCCGTGGCACCTTGCCGAAAAGCATCGCCTTCATCTCTGGGAACCCGGAGCCTGCTGCGCATGGGGAGAAGCCTCCTATACCCTTGGTATTGGCTCTATTCATTTGGGGTCCTGGGCCCTGGGTTCCAAATAATATATTGAAGCTTTGAATGATACTGTAGTGGGAAAGATCAAACGGATTCTAAAAACCACGGAAATTAATTAGTTGGAACTGCGGCTTTCTAACAGCAGAAACGGGGACTTCAATGAACACATTGGAACAACTCCTTCACCACAGTACCCCATGTGAAGAGACGGGCACTGCTAACCAACAGAAATGGCATCAAACAGCACAATACAACCGCACGCCGGCATTGCTTCGCGCGGCTCATCCAATTTCGCACCCCCAAAACAGCCCCACCCTGCAGCACAGCATCAAGCGAACATGCAAATTCAAGATCATATCTCTCAGCGTAGCATCAACTTAGAGAGATGGAAGACGATTCTCCCCTAGAAATGTGCCATTCTCAAAGTCAAACTCAACGTTGAGGTGATTTTTGACATTTTATGGATGCATTGGAGATTTTGGATGATCTTTGGGGGGATGGTAAACAATGCAATTCAATAGAATCATCGAAAAATACCCCCTATATCATCCTATATCCCCCTATCCCATCTCATTAGTTGCCCCTATCCCATCTCATAGTTGCTTAACAAATCTTAATAATTAGATTTCCCTACTATGGGTTACAAGAATCATACAAGAATCACCAGCCAGCCCGGTATTCTCAACGGCTCAGCACCCGTCTCCCATGCTGTGGCCTTCTGCTTCAATGGTCGGCCGCACGATCACCCGTGCCAAGCAGGCCGCAAAGACGTCAAAGCCCAAGACAGTGAGAAAATCGTCGCCGATGAGGCTTGAGCCTCGGGAAAAGCCCAAAAAAGATCACTATGGATTGGTCCTTGAAAATGGGGCCATGCCCAATTTATGACCTTTTTCATGCAGAAAATGAGGCATGGTGGAGTGAAACATCTCCTCAAAAATATGTAGGGAAGCCTATCCCATTTAAGGTTCAGTCAGGCCATATGGAGCATCACAAAAAGGCCATTCTGAGCCCGGATGCATCAAATTTCCGACGTTTACCAACCCCTGTTTGTGAATGGAAATAAACCCCGGTAATTTGATGTCTGTTTATAGGTACTGTATGGAAGCCATGGCCCATTTAGTTCGAGAATTTACTTGTTAAACATATTAAACATTCAAAATGTTGATTCTCCCATAGCGAACGCTAACAAGTCAAAGTATGCAGTCACAAAGAAAACCAGTGATCATCAAGGCATCAACACTGCGGGGATCTCCGGGGTCAAGACATCATGTGCTTTAGCACAGCTGCCAACGTCTTGATGCAACTTGGAAAGCGGACTCATTTTATGTGAAATGAACACAATCTCCAATCTCCACTCAATTAAAGAGAGAACGCATAATTACTTTTAAACAATATGTTCATAGATTTTCATATATGCTCTATGGTGGAAATGCCACAATCTTAACTATAAAAAAAACCACCATTTTTGCCAGGGGTGACGGAAATTCGTCCACTCTGAGGTCCAGCCGTCGCGGCAAGATACGCAACAAGCCCATGGCAAAGGTAAATCGATCGATCAAGAATGACAAAGAACCTGGCGATTCCAACGGGTTGATTGAATCGGTCCCAAATCAGGACAATCCCGTGTAAGCGAGTACACATCTGGTGGTATACCTACCAACCCATCTGAAAAATGATGGAGTGAAAGTCAGTTGGGATGATGAAATTCCCAATATACGGAAAATTTTAAAACATGTTCCAAAACACCAACCAGACATGATTACGAAAGTTAAATCAAACAAACCATTTTCAGCGATGTCGAGTGGACCCGTACCAGACATGTCCGAAGAACAAGCTTTGCCATGGACCAAGGTGGTGCTCTCCAAAGATACGTTTTGATACCCATACACAATAGAACACCAAGATATAAACCAACTTTGACACCTTGCCATGTGGGGAGGAAAGTCTCCAACTCTGACGGGTCTCTTCTGACCCTTCTACCGCAAAAAAGACAGACATCATCCACATTTGACCCATTGCCATTTTGCCGTGCAAGAATTGAGCTGTTACCCTCTGGCAAACTAAGATAACTATGGAAAATCACCATTTTTAACGGGAAAACTCACTATAAATGGCCATTTTCAATAGCAAATTGTTAAATTACCAGAGGGTACACATCTTCATAGCCCATACCCGTAATTTTTACACTATCCAAACAGCCCATACCCTCGCAACTTGCGGGGATCAATCAATGAAAAAAAACGATTCCCAGGGACTCGAAAGGATCGCTGTGACCACCAGCAAGATCCAAAAGCGGCTCAAAATGCTTTTCTCCTGCGGTTGTTACCCTCTGGTAATGACTAACACTTTGCTATTGAAAATATTGAAGCCATGGCCCATAGAAAGTTCGTTGATTTACCGAACTTAGAGATGGTGATTTTCCAGTTCGCGAAGTGTAAAAGTTTACCAGAGGGTAATAATGGGGTGCTTCAGGTCGTCTATGCAGTAGTTGGTGTGATGGTACCATATATGAGAGAATATTTAAGATACCTAGAGGTACTGATCATTACTGATCTATATCTTTGGCCCATGCAAGGCCTTAGTTTCAGGAAACTTCCCCATCATACAGTACCTCACTTCAGGGTCTTGATATTCCCGCTTCGTCTTAGATCATGGGTGATGTTGGGTGATATACCCATGCATTGTGATGGTGTGTTCAGTTTGTTGAGCAAATATGTTACATGTCCACAATTCATTGGAAGGATGCACGCTGAAATTCTTTATAATAGTATATATATCCAAACAGTTATATAATATATATACATATACAGTTTATCCATGTTGCATTCATTCCATGTTTGTTTTGTTGCTACGGATCAAACAGAACCCAACAATGCAACAATGGGTGGTTCAAATATGTTAAGCATACTTTAAAACATGACCCATCAATTTTGGCTAGACGAAGAGATACACCCCAAGGACTTGACATGATTTGACCCTTCTGCGGGCTCTCCTCCTCCTGCAAGGTGCTGCACTTGTCGAAGTGGGTTGAGTCCAGAGTTACCGCCACCGAGCCCTTCCTTGGCCCAACTTTTTCCGGAAAATAGTGTCCACAGAGCAATTCTGGCCATTGATCATGATTTGATGATGATTCCCATATATTTTCCCAAGGGTGGGACTTCCAACCATGTTTCTTTGGCATCTGAATGGCATCTGATGCAGGAATCAGTTGAAGCAGTTCTTGAAACTACAGCATTCGCTGGGTCCAAGCTGAAATAACATCTAATAATTCACCAACCTGCAATTTATGTGATGTTTGGAGGATTCCCCTGAAGAAAATGAAATTCACGGTTCTTCTTAGAAGGTCTTTTGCCTTTGCCCACAGCTTGTGCCGATGTTCATGTGAGACTTCGGCCTTTTTCACAACTAGTCACATCCCAGAATTCATGAGGCCAAAAATATTAGTGATGTGGTAAAACCCATCATAAACCCATCAGAAACTTCCCATTTGGGGATCGTTCCTTCCATTCAGCCTTGGGGACCATCCCTTTTTTGCGGATTTTCCGGTGATTTTGGACACGCCAAGCCTTGGGGAAAAATGGAAATTGGCTTGAAGTTGCTTCGATTTCTTCGATTTTCGGGGTTTCAAGCCATATTTATGTGTTTTTTTGATCCACAAAATCCAATCTTAAGAGTTTTCCTGGTGAAATCTGATAAAAATCTGACTGTTCTGAATATTGATTGATTCAAATGGAGGCTTCTTGACAGGATACTCCCAAATCATCCAAGTGAGTAGACCCAAAGAGCACAAACTGACCACAAACTGACCACAAGTCAACAGTCAAAAAAAATGGCCCTGTCCATGCAAAGCAATCCACTTATGTTTTGTTGTTCAGAACCAACATCTAACTATTTGACTAGTTTGATTTATCTACAATCCTAGTTAACCTACTTTTTTCAACCAATTTATCTAACGAACAAGGGCACCAACCTAGCTTGGGTTACAACTAGACTAACTATAGGGTTTATGGTAACAAATCGTAAGGATAACATACTATAACTATCAAAAAAATATAGTTGGAATTAGTTCGATAACTGGTTGGTGGTATACCAACCCCTCTGAAAAATGATGGACTTCGTCAGTTGGGATGATTATTCCATTCCCGGCGGCCCGATGGAAAGTCATAATCCAGTCATGTTCCAGTCACCACCAACCAGATAAACCAACAAACGTAACAAGGGCGCAGCTGCCCCTTCCATGCCCTGTGTCTTCCGAAACAGCTTGGCCATGGTGGACAGCGGCGTCTTGGCTGGTGGCGACATGGCAGCCTCCTGCCGCGCCGCGTCGCAAACTGTTCATGGTCTTTTCCCGTGGCTTTTGATCGTTTCATGGTGAATGTTTCCTGTTTTTTTTTTGTGATTTTCCTGTTTTTTGATGGTTTTCATCGGTATTTTCCCTATTCTTTCCTGTCCATGGTGAATTTCCAAAAAATGAGTGTGTCTGAAAATCCCGGTTTACACCCAAATTGCCCAATCAACAACCAACCACCATGTCTTAACTATCTCAATTCTATTCTCCCCTGTTTGCTGGTTGAACCCTCATGTCAAATCATTGTTTGATCATGAACTACCCTCCAGCAAACTAATAGTTTGCCATGGAAAATGGCCCATGAAAACACATGATTTACTGTACTTACTAAAATGATGATGGCCATAGCTAGCTACGTTAGTTTACCAGATGGATTTGTCTCAAAATCGGGTATCCCCAAACTTGATGGTTCTCATTTTCTAGCATTTTTGGGGACCCCTATTTTCAGACAGACCCAGGTAATCAATGAATCCCAATGTTTGAACGCCAATCCCAGGGTTTAGCAGTCACCTGGACTCTGTATTTCCGGTGGCAGCTGCACTTTGGGCGCCATTGCAGATTTCTCCAGATGAGCAAAGCGCCAAGCTTTGAGAAATGCCAACTTTGGGCCTTCTGATCGGACAGGGTAGTTGAGCCAATGTTGGGGAAAACAGAGAGCGGGATTTTGGAAAGCACCGTTCCGGACATGAAGCCAGGACCATGGAAGGATTTACCCCCCAAAACAGTGCTACAGGTAGGGCCCAGTTTCGATGGATTGGTTGGTTGAAAGGAACATCGAAACCATGGCTGAAGCCATCAAGCTATGGCTATATCGTGGTTTATCCACCTTAAACCCTGCTGAATTGTATTTACAACCAAGCTTACCTTTTTTTGGCGTGGGTCTTCCGGTAGGCAAATGAGCTAGAATGAGATGATGATTGCCAAGGATCAATGAGTATAGAACTTCCCTCCAACATAGACCCTGCGATGAATTTGAGATTGGAAGAATAGGTTCCACAATTTTCATGGTGGGCTTTCAGGGTCTGTGAAAGAGTGGGCGAAATACTATTCACAGATGTAACTGAACTTGTAAACTATAAGGATAGGATTACCAAACAATTGCATCACACTCACCAAATGTTGAGTATGGTGATAGAACACACAATATGTATCTAATACAGTCTCCAGGGGATTTAAAATCTAATATACAGGTCAATTCTATAGCTGGTTGGTGGTTTCAACCCCTCTGAAAAATATGAGTCCGTCAGTTGGGATGATGAAATTTCCAATAGATGGAAAATATTGGAACATAAAATTCCATGGTTCCAGTCACCACCAGCAGGTTAATTATATAGGGATACCTTCAGTAAAGAAGCAAACATCCTGAAACTTCCTCGCCTCCATCGCCTCCTTCGCCTTGGTGAAGCTATGAGATGGCCACAAGATGATGCCCCAGTTCGGAATAGCAACAGTTGGGAATCGCAGAACCTAATATTTAACTAGGCTTTATGGCATGTAGATGCGTCGAACTAGTTGCATGATGTTGGATGGAGGTTTCCTAAAATATGGCTACCCCAAACTCCCAAACCATGGGTTTTTCTCATTGATGATAACGTCACCACCTGAGAATCGAGAGGCTTTTGAGGCTTGTCACACATCCGGGTGAACAATGAACAAGTGCTGGATAGTGTTCCTAAAATACATAGTTAGCATATGTATGCATATGTTAGCATCGAACATGAGGGTCTCAAAACGCCTCAAATCTATGCGAAGCTATGCGAAGTTACATTGACACGACCGTTTCTTCGAATCTCCTGAAACTGCCAGGTCGTGACCTGGTTCCATGTAAAAATCTTGGACACGTTTAGTGTCAACATGCGTTGCCACCCCCTGAAAAGAAAAATATGGGATGCCAGTTGGGATCATGGTATGCCATTTCTATAGGGTTCGAAAAACACATATCATCAAATAATCAATGGTTCTATCACATAAAAAAACACCATGAAATTCCCAGGTTTCATCTCTGTTCCTAGTCAAATCACCATTTCTGTTGGTTGATCACAATTTATGTTGGTTAAATCACCATTTCTGTTGGTTCAATCACAATTGATGTTGGTTAAATCACCATTTCTGTTGGTTAAATCACAATTTATGTCGGTTCAATCACAATTTATGTTGGTTAAATCACAATTTCTGTCGGTGAAATCACAATTTCTGTTGGTGAAATCACAATTTCTGTCGGTTAAATCACCATTTCTGTTGGTTAAATCACCATTTCTGTTGGTTAAATCACCATTTATGTTGGTTAAATCAAATTTATGTCGGTTCAATCACAATTTATGTTGGTTAAATCACAATTTATGTTGGTTAAATCACAATTTATGTTGGTGAAATCACATTTTCTGCTGGTTGAATCACAATTTATGCTGGTTAAATCACAATTGATGTTGGTTAAATCACAATTTATGTTGGTTCAATCACAATTTATGCTGGTGAAATCACAATTTCTGTCGGTGAAATCACAATTTATGTTGGTGAAATCACAATTTCTGTCGGTGAAATCACAATTTCTGTTGGTGAAATCACAATTTCTGTCGGTTAAATCACCATTTCTGTTGGTTAAATCACCATTTCTGTTGGTTAAATCACCATTTATGTTGGTTAAATCAAATTTATGTCGGTTCAATCACAATTTATGTTGGTTAAATCACAATTTATGTTGGTTAAATCACAATTTATGTTGGTGAAATCACATTTTCTGCTGGTTGAATCACAATTTATGCTGGTTAAATCACAATTGATGTTGGTTAAATCACAATTTATGTTGGTTCAATCACAATTTATGCTGGTGAAATCACAATTTCTGTCGGTGAAATCACAATTTATGTTGGTGAAATCACAATTTCTGTCGGTGAAATCACAATTTCTGTTGGTGAAATCACAATTTCTGTCGGTTAAATCACCATTTCTGTTGGTTAAATCACCATTTCTGTTGGTTAAATCACCATTTCTGTTGGTTAAATCACCATTTCTGTTGGTTAAATCTCTTAAGCCGGGTGAGAATTAAAGCCCCGCAGGATTTTCGTCAAAGGGGCCACTTCAGCGGCGCGCTTCCTCGCCTGGTCCTGCGCCAGTCTTTTTCGCGGCCGCGGCGACCCACACCCCAGTTGATTCATGGGACTATCGTGGTTTAATAGGATTTAATGCTGTTTAATGGGGTCCAAATGATGTTTTCATGAGATCTACCGAATTTTGAATGGGGTCTAATGATGCTTGAAGGGATTTGATGTAAATTATTCGTCTCTTCCCCCGTTCAGCTCTTAAACGCACTGCAGAAACCAGGCGATAAACATGACAACCAGATACAGCCACCACATATTTGCTACCGTTAACCATGGGGGTGCTTCATATTGTTTCATCTGTACGTGGGATGGTATTAATGAACATAAAATTTGGAAGGTCTTATACCATTCATGTCTGGTGACATGAAAGGGATGATATATTATGGGGTTTACGAATGTTTACGATACATGGGTCATCATTCGGAAGTTCTTGGCAAGTCAATGGTACCATCCTCTACCTGATTTTACAGCATCCACAGTCATCCGACTTATGGACAGGAGTAACCACGATTTGTGGTAGATACCCTCTGGTAAACTAACGTAGCTATGGAAAATCACCATTATTAATGGGTAATTCCACTATAAATGGGTCATTTTCAATAGCTATGTTAGTTTACCAGAGGGTATTGTCTATACTTAATGGGGGCCCTAAACTAAGTTCTAACTGAGGTGCAATTTGATTGAGCAGCACTCAGAACAATCTAACAATCATTGATTTTTGGTTATCAATAGTCAGGTCTCAGCGCAGGTCTGAATATTGACTTGCTTCTCCAATAGTCAGCAGCAATCCTTATCTGTTTGGAAGATAAAACATCATAAGAAACTGCCAGCATGTTTTTCAATCCTAAAAATGACATCACCCCACCACCAATAATCCCTAAATGGTAATACATACATTTAAAAAACAAAAATGTGTCATAAATCGTCCACTCTTCTAATTTATATGAGAAAAATACAATACATTTAAAGTGTTGAAAGTATTTTATATAAAGTCATAAATGATAATCCTCTGGCCACATTTCTATACGATTCTCCTACCATCTCTGGGGCTGTGAAAAACCCTGTTCAACTGCAAGCCTTCTCAGCAAGCGCTCGAGACTTCAGCTGCACGCCAGGGCCCTTGGATCTGCGGGTTTTGCTTACTGGGATGGTTTACGACTGGGTAGAAACCCGGCCTGGTAAACTGGGATTACAGTGGAATAACCATAGGAAAAACATAGGAAAATGGAGGTTTACTCTCTGGTTATACCAAAAACTATGGAAAATCACCATTTTTAATGGGAACACTCACTATTTCAATGGCCATTTTCAAAAGCCATGGAAAAATGGTGACAAACCCTGGTCGAGTCCTATGATCAGACAGACCCGCATGTTTTCTTGGTTCGAAGTTCGAAGCACGAAAAGACACTATCGTAAATAGTGGAATCACTTCCAAGGAAAGGCACGTGCCTCGTTTGTTGGCTCGCGGTGCCCCATCGAACGAATCCAATATCTGCATCAATCCAATCGTTATTGTACGTAGTTACAAACCAAATGAACACTAATTCATGCGGGTAAATCCCACATCCATTTAAATCATTTTAAATCCTTATGATTGCTGGGTACATTCCTATTCACATCAGGTTACCGGTCATAAATATCATACACAAATTTAAATCAACTTATCAACTATAAAACCAGCTATATAGTCATGGATTTGCTCAAGGACCCCCCCAAAAATAGTTTCCTTTAGATCCCCCAAGCAGTGGATTTCCCATTGGGAAAAAAAACAATCACCCTAAACAAAGCCAAGTAATCTATATCTGCTTTGTGGTTTCAACCCCTCTGAAAAATATGAAAGTCAGATTGGATCA